GAGAGGGCCTCAGGACTACCACAACAACTAGATGTAAAACTTTTAGCAGACATGTCATATGGGCTGAGCAATTTAAGTGTGACATGTTTGATTCAATACAGTTAATAACTAACAGGGAACAGTATGTAAAAGACAGGAAAGGCTGAGTCACAGTGAAAGGACTGTATGTTTGTTTAATTTACGAGAATCACACTGCAAAAAATCTAAATCTAGATAAGTCATTTTTTCTTAAAATAAGTGCATTTGTTCTTGAATTGAGGAGATAAAAGAGACATTTTGCCAACGGAACAAGACAATTGACACTTAAAATAAGAAAACACAATTGCATTGTCTTATTTCAAGTGCATATGATCTAATTATCTTATTGTAAGAGTAAAATTACTCATTCCATTGGCAAACTATCTCATTTACCTACTCAAATTAAGGGTGAATACACTTAATTTAAGAAGTTTTTACTTATTTCTAGATCATTTTTGCAGTGCATAACTCCCAAATAATTGTCTGATTATTTGCATATATGCACATCATCCTAAAGCATGGATTCTCAATTCCAGTCATTGATGTCCAGTGTCCTGCATCTTTTACATGGATCTCTACCTCAACCACCTGAGTCTAATAATCAGAGCATTAGCAGGACTCTGGAGAACTTGACTGGATACTGAAGAGGTAATTCAGCCACTTGAGTCAGGTGTGTGGAAGCAGAGACACATCTGGTGCAGGACACCAGACCTCGAGGGCAGTAACTGAGGACTCCTGTCCTAAAGTGTCCTTTGACAGTGATCCAAAACACGCTTTTCAGTGTAATCAAAGAATACACTGATAGAAATAAAAAAACAACAGTAAAACATGTCATCACACGGAAAGATGTTTGAGTGAGAAAAGTTTCGTTTAAGCTCCCCTATGTCACTCCAAACACTACCACAGGTGCATAAGACAGCATAGCTGCAGTAATAACCTGTGTATTTTCACCATTGATAGTTTGCATCTCATTAAATTAGCTTTAATACCTCTTTCAGTGAAGGTGAATCTAAAGGGCCCAAAGGCCATAACAGTAATTATCAAGCTCCCAGTTATGTGAGATGCAACAAGAACAAGAATTTGTGTTATCCCCTATATCTGACACCAGCTTCTAAGGTAAATTAAACAAAGCATTTGGCTGCAACATGTATGTTCGATATTAACTTTTGGAAGCAATGTAGAATAACATTGGCAGGAAAAATAACAAAATCAACCAATTCACAAAGAATTACTCACAAATTTTAATGTGATAAGCTTGCTGTAGGACTTTCTTGCCATGTAAATAAAATAAATAAGACAATGGATGTATTAATAGATGCTCTCTCTATTTGCTGTATGTTTTTCTACCTTCTGGGAAAGTTAAGAAGATCTTGACTGATTATGTTGCTGCATCAGCAGTGTTTGCATGACACTGAATGAGCCCACTGTGCATGGCCGGGGCTCTTTGGTTGTCCCAGTCCGGCTGTTAGCAGCAAGCTGATGTGCACTAATTAGGCAAACATGAAAACCACTTTGCAGTCAACATGATCTTCGTTTCCACACAAATTTCCAGTCAGCTGCATTAGGCCAATTCTCATCTGTGTCAGTTAGGAGGAAGAGATCAGATGCAGGGAGGAGAAAAATGCTTACCAGTCAACCTTTATGTGCAGTTGTGCATTAGAGAGAGGAGGAGGAGAAAAAGTGAAGGGGGAGAGGGCGGCTGGCTGTGCTGGGCAGAGAAGAGTGGAGTGGAGCAAATGCATTGCAGACGGAAAAGAGGAGGAGGGCCTACAGCTATTGTTCATGTCCTCCCGTGAACAAAGGGCTCATCGGGGTCCGTATGTAAACCCACAGCAGGCTCCAGTCCACTGACAAGGCCTCATGCGGGACAAAACATAAAACTACCGACTCCCGCAATTTTGTGCCCTATTCCGCTGTAGTCTCTCGGTTTGAGGAGATTTTTTTTTATTGATTCTGTTGGGAAAGGACGTATTGTTGTGTGGGTACGTTGCGTCCTGCGGGCCTATCCGTTTTTACGCACGGAGCGTACACACGGTCTATCACCACGGATCTGTAAACATCAATTTTCTGACTGGACTTCTTTGCAGGTAAAGGGCCGCTTTTCCTCCTAAACACACTTTATTGTGTAAAACACAGCTCCCGGTGCAAATACGTGTTGCTTATAAACGCTCGTGGTTATAGTTTATCGCCATTTAATACCATATTTCTTCTTGAAAAGAGATATAACGTTATCGCGTTAGCCTAAAAGCTAGACGCTAATGGCTAATGCTAGCCTGGCCGTTAAAAGGCCTGTGAGGCAGCTTGTAAATTGTGAAAGATATTTTATTTCTTTTCTATTACTCAGTGTTCAAAGTTACCTTTTTAAAATTAAACTACAGTAAAAGTTAAAAGTTTTGTTATGTATTATGCGCGTTTTTCAGTGTGTAGAAGCTGTAGCCTAGCTAAGGTGGTGGCTAAGAGCTAACATAATGCGAGGGCTGCCTTTCTAATTGCCTTTGTAGGTAATTCTTGTATCTTTACGTTAAAAAGCTACAGTGCCTGTTACTTAAAGGCACAATAGATGTGTAGAAAATTTAACAAAACTAATGAGCTGAGATTTTAAGTTATTTGACTTGTTTGTTTGGTTTACCCCACACAACGCTATAGACACCATAGGGGCCACATAGGATTAAACTAATTTATGTAAAATATTATCCTTAGTCACATTTTTTTAATCGTGTTTTGATGTCAGAATATCAGTGAAATGGAAACGGACTTTATGCTCCCGTATTTCTTTGGGATATGTTTTAGGTTAAAGTTTGACCCCATGATCCATTTGCCACACATGATCATGTTTAGCATGTGTACATGCTGTATGTAAAGTGTTGTTTTCTTGTAAAAGTAAGAGGAGAATGATTCCCAGTGGAGGAAGTGGAGTCCAGCTGATGAGATTGTGACTGACTGTCATTAACCGCTAACAGGAGAGGAGAAGGAGCTAATGGAGCTTTCAACAACTAATGGACACATAACCATTGATTATTTATTTATTTATCTGGTGATGCATCCAGCCTATAGCATAATGTTACAACCCAAACAGCTTGTTCTTCCTTAAAGAGCAGACAGAGCTTCGGATGACTTTGTGTATACAGCGTTTTTTTTTTACTAGGTGAGATTGGGGAAACCTGTTTAAAAGGTAATATTTATTTACCTTTTTCTGGTATCTAACTTTATGTCGAAAATATCCATCATTTTCATACTCTGATGCATGTTTTTTGTCAGTGGATCTATTTTTGATTGAAATAAATCTGAATGAATCGTGCAGGCAAACCCAGTCTATGTCCTGGTGACTTTCTTGCTAATGCTTTCAGGTTTTGTTAGTGTCCAATTGGTTATGAAATGTGTCTTATTGCTTGAATTTGACAGAGGCGTCATGCTCCATTTTCGCGATTTTTTACTACAGATGCACCAATAAATCAGCTAGACATTGGAATCGGTCAGTTTTCCCACGCTCATCTGATCAGTTGTTGAAACTTGACTGAACAAATACTCAATCTGCATTTTTTTCCCCACAACTTTCTTTTAAATCTTCATGATTAAGAATCCATCATTTTGGTCTACAAATGCATTAACTAGCAGCCAGTACTTTGCTATTCTTCTTTCATTTAATAAAGTAAAATCAGATAAAGGTTAGGGATAATTGCTTTTAACCATCAAATAGATTTATCCTGTATATTTTTTGCATGGGTCAAAATGGCTACATAATGCTCTGAACTTTCATTTCAATGCGTTTTTTTGCACCATGTTTTTTCTTCCCCACTGTTTACATTTGATCACTGCTGCACTTTATGAAATGGAAATGTTCCTTTAATTTATGAAAAGCTTTAAAAAATTAAATTTTGTTTTGTAAATGCTGTGTATACAAAATGACCAAAGGTGGTTAAGTCTTCAAGATGTGGTTTTCTTGTAAGAGGTTATAGTCTTTAAAGCAAAACACTGTATTGTTCAACATTTTAGTCAGCACATGGAACCTGTGCTGAATAGAAAATCAAAAATTATGCTTAAATCTTTTTTTCCATTCTATTATTTTTTGTAGTTTATCTATATTTTTAGATTCACATTTAAACTGACAATATTTTCATATAGATCTAGGTAGTGCCATGCATAGTTTTACTGCTATAATTTCTATACAAACTGCAACGGTGCATAGTTATTTAAAGGTTATTTAAATAATATTTATGCAGTTTTGCCTCCAGGATTATAACAAGGTTTAAAAACAAAATATTTGGACTTTGCTGTGATTTCAGATTGTAGATCAATCTGTGGCCCACCTGTTGACTTATTGTGAGTGTAGTTGGTGGAAGTAATTCATCTCGATGCCTTTGAAGATTACCAAAGGCCCACCAGTCACCAATCAGAACTGACTGAAGGCAATAATGCCAATTTTCCCACCTGATTGAAATATCATTGTTCAATATACAGCTGCAAGAATTAGGCACATTAAGTAGGAGGTGCCTCTCCATGGTGACGTTGGGGTCGTGACCTGCATGCTGCTATGCCTGGATGATCTTTATTACAAAGCTGGGCAGTTATTGTAAAGCAGGGGTGGGAACTGTTTGTGTCGGGGAGGGACATCACTCTGTTTTATAGGTGGGCTTGTCCAGGACATATGGTCTGTTGGTATTTCTATATCTAGTAGTTATTTTATGGAGATGTGTGATGGTGAAATGAGGAGCATCTTCAGTGTTACAACTTGCTTCTGAATTTGCCTTTTTTTTCTTAACACATCTCTGTGTGTCTGCTCCAAATGAGCCTGTTAATCAATTTGTACTGAAGATGTTTCATCAGACTTTCTGAAATAAACTAGCTTTTGTTTGACTGTTGGACATTAAATGTATCTGTTGAACTCCATGCTGGTTTCTATTTAGTGCTGTTAATATGCTGTAAATCCAACATTTAATGACCTCTATATTTCTCCCTCTTTTGTATGCCTTCATATAATCCAGGCTGTTCCTCCAAGTCATTCAAGCTGTACTCCCCCAAGGAGCCCCCCAACGGTAGCACTTTCCCCCCTTTCCACCCCGGCACCATGCTGGACAGAGACGTGGGGTGAGTTCAATGCCCTTTTATCCATTTCTTCAGGCCCCTTCCACACGAAGTCAAAACGAACACGAAACGCTAATATTTTCCAGAACGTTTGTCATAAAGATGGAGACGTAAAATAAATGTGATCGACCACACGAATGCATGAAAACGCTAAAAAATGTATGACAGGCCAATAAGTGGCGCTGTGGTGCCAAAGCAAAAATAGGCGAAAACAGGCAACCAAATGTTGGGCATGCGCAGTAATATTTATACAACAACCAAACCGTAAAATGGCCCTGCGGGTCCATTTTCGTGGTTCAGTCAAATTGAGGTGATAAACTAAGTCGTCTATATTGCTCTGTTCTTCCTGGAGATATTCCAGAAGAAGATTCTGTTGTAAGCCCGACAGCAGGGTGAGTAGCATGAGCAGCAACCATTCAACACAGTACGGCGCCATTGTTGTTGTGATACTGTGTCGCGCATGCGTGTTTAGAGGTGACGCTATGATGCATGCATGTAAGAAAAAAAATGCGGTTAGAGCTTAAAGATGGAACCGCGAAAATAGCGTTTCAAAATCTTCCCACTCTGAAGGCTTAATAAAAAAAAGATCGTTTACAGACCCCCGAAACGCCGGCTTCGTATGGATGAGAGACTGGTTTGGTGAAAAATTTGTGCGTTTAGGCCAGGGTTTGACTTTGTGTGGACGGGGCCTTATATTGTGTGTTTTAATCATCCTGCTCTTCTGCTTGTAGTTTTGTAAACAATGTTATATGTATAAAAATAAAGTACACACAACGGTATGATGTTTAAAATGGTAATCTTTAGAGATGCTCTCATTAGATTTATTGTTGCATTTTAGATCACCAATTTTTGTAAAGCTTTGGACTGTGCAAATACATTTTTTTTAGCAGGATAAAGAAAGCTTTCTGTAATACAGACCAAAGTAGAAAATTCTGTACATCTTTTAACTCAAGATGTAATAGATTGTCAAATACATTTTCCCTAAAACATCCTGCAAGGACTCCAAACATTTCCAACCTGAGGGTTTTGACTTTTTCCTTATTGTGATTAAATCTACTTTACTGAAAAGAGCTGTTTCTTTTTCTTTCTGTAACAACTTTAAAACCAAAGAGTATTGGTTAGTAGGGCTGAAGCAAAAAAAATTATTGAAATAATTGTCAACTACTTTACTAATTGATTAATAACTAACTTCAGTATAAGGAATCTACAACATGCCTTTAGCTGAAAGAGCAACCCTTTTAAAGGAGTTGTTATACAACAATTGCCACAAATATTTTGCATTTAAGATTAAAACCCTTTTTGTCCATTAATATGCTCTGTCCAGAAGTCCTCAAAGACACAGTTTTAGCTTCACTCAGTTTAAATTCTGTGTAAAATCTCCTTTAAGGAACCATTGGTCATCTGATAATTAACTGAGCAATTGAATCGATTAGCAAAATATTTATTACTTAGGGGAGTGGCAGCCTCGTGGTTAGTGCATTGAGCTTGGACTCCAGAGTTTCTGAGTTCGAGCCCCACTCCCACAGACTGACACTCTGGGTTCCTGAAGAAAGACCCAGGCACCGCACAATGGCAGCCCACTGCTCCCCTAAGGGGATGGGTTAAATGAAGAGTTAATTTTGTTGCCCGGTACTTGTGACTATATAATAATAAAAAAAAAAAAAAGTTGCAGCTGTTAGTATAACTCATTAAATGACTGAGCAGGGTGCTTCAAGTATATCATACTCTTGTTTGGGACTCTTGTTGACGATTTATAGTCGTTTTACTAGTTATCTGATCGGGCAACACCTCAAATATGTTGTAAAGTTTCAATTTAGGCAGCAAGCTACCTTAGGCCCAGAAAGTACTTTAATTTATTGGAAATTCCGAATTAAATATTTTGAAAGTTATTCAGCAAGCAAAGTGACATGTAATAAATTTCTAAAATATATATAACAAATATTAGCCATATGATATTGCCCTACAGTCTCTCCCTATCAAATTGAATAAATTAAGTAAAAATAACACTGCCAAAACGAAACACAGAAAATTTCAGCAAGTAAGAAGCATATGGTCAGAGTAGTGGAAGTTCTCCCACAAAGATCGTATTCACTGATACACGGGACTTACACTGTGGTCATCATTAAAGTATTTATTAGGGCTATGACAACCAGTCCATGGAGGGTGCTAACAGTATCAAAATGGATGTCAAGATAGACGGCTCAAATCATGTTACAGGAAGACTGAGGTTTTACAGTTTGTCTGCTTTCAGAAATGCCTCCATATTTAAGGATTCAGGATCTCTTGGAGTCTTTGGCCTTTACTGTATTTTTCAAATGTTGATTTATTCATTTGCATAAATTCTAATATTTGAGACAACAATCTATTAAGTTGGAGGAGGATCCTCTTTACAGAATAAAAGTCTGCATTTCTCTGCAAAATATGTTGTTGTGATTAATAATCTACACTTCCTTCTTTCTATGAGGAAATGTTGCTAGTAAGCAATTACAAATTAGGCTTGATTTCAAATACGTTTTTCTAATTTTTATTTGTATAAAACATGTGCTAGTCAGTACCCTTCCTATTTTTTTTTTACATCAGGGGCAATTTCCATTTAATAGAAATTGCTGTTTGAGTAAATGGATTAGAAAAAATGTCATTGTTATCTTTTTCCTCTCAATTTGGAAAAAATCAAAATGGTTATGTTCCAGTGGTTAAAGTACCAGTAAGATTTGGGGAGATTAATTTTCTGTTTTATCATTTTTTTCCCCTCATGTTTCTTTTAAATTAAACAGTGGTCTGTTTTTTAAGAGATGTTATTTACACCCTTATTGTTTAATGGTTTGACTCCTGTCTTTTCTAATGATGAATCAGATGTTGGAAGACAGCACATTAGAGCTAAAGTTGAATGCAACAATCATTTTTTCACATGTTTTCCAGTCCTACTCCAATGTACCCGCCCTCATACATGGAGCCAGGAATAGGGTAAGGCAGCGCTTCAAATCGTATTTCTTCAAATGGTGTTGATGTGTTTACAGCTGCTGTCACTTCTATCAATAAAAGAAAGATTTAGTCATTGGGAGAGTTTAAATGTTTTTATCTTGAACCTCAAAGTTCAGAATGCTGGCTTTTTTTTAAGATGTACGAATACTTGCATCAATATTACTGCTTTCTCATTCGTCCTGTTTTCCTTCTGCGACTCAGGAGGCACACACCATACGGAAACCAAACAGACTACAGAATATTTGAGCTCAACAAGCGGCTACAGAACTGGACAGAGGTTTGTGTCTGCATGGATGCACAAACAATGACATGGAGATGGACACAGAAACAAAGCGGTAATTGTGTGCTGTTGGTTGTTCTCTTCTCGCCGTCCCTCAGGAGTGCGACAACCTGTGGTGGGATGCTTTCACTACAGAATTCTTTGAAGATGATGCCATGTTGACCATTACTTTCTGTCTGGAAGATGGACCCAAACGCTACAGTAAGAATCAAACATGACTTTAGTTATTGTCTGCTTCTCAGCCACTAGATATGATCCTTAAAGTTATCCAGCAACTACAGAGTCCATTGCATATTTACAGTGGGCTACATGATAATAGAAATGAAGAACTCATACACCCTGTGAGGGTGCAGTGTTATGAAATGTTTACTGCAACCTCTGTCCTACTAAGCTATGGAATGTGAAAGGCCGGATTGTGTGACTACTAATAACTGCAGCAGACTCACATCTTAAAAATCTGACAGAGATACAGGCTGGACAGCGAATGCAACCACTGCTGTTGACTCACTTGTTATTAGAGGAGGTCGTCTGGGAAAAGATGGTGTTGGAAATCTTCATTGTCTTGATATATGAAGACAATAAGATGTGTTTTCACAGTAGCAGCTACTCTAAATTTCTTTAGGAATAGAAATAAACTTTTTATTCTCTGCTTAGGGGTTTTTATTTTTTGTAACTTGTTATTATTCTCTATACTTGGCATTGGTCAGTTGAGCTTTTCACAATCTAATCAAATCAAAAAGGTCTGCCATAACTGGATAAAGAAAAAAATAATGGAGATGAAGCAAACCTACAACCACTTTTTGTGATCAACCGCATGAAATTATGAAAATACACCACCCACTCCATTTTAGTAGATTTTAGCTATCCGCGCCACCTTATGTTAAAATAATTCCTTTATAGGTGACAGGTATATGGTTTCCAGACCAAGGTTGCGGCTTTAGTTTTTTTCAGTGTTTTCTTTTTTGTATAAAGGGAAAAGTGTAGTGGCATTCTTTTCAGCCATCCATCGGGAGCATTGTATAGCAATAGAACTCCATTCACGTCTAAAAATCCTGAAGCATGTCATTTAAGGGCATAAAGTGTTAATGTGGTGATAAAAAAAACCCTCTGAATAACTGTATCTGGCTGTTCTGATTCAGTGTCCTCTTATCCTCGAACTCAAAACTCTGAGTTTCTGATCTCGGAGTTAAATGTTTCAGCTAGAAACGTCCCCGAGAGTCCGAATTCAGATTTGAAAAGTCAGGACAACACAACCATAGCAGAACTCAGAGGTGACAATGGCTGCTCCTCCAGTCAACACTAGTTACACTTTCCTCTTCTGCCTGTTTGTAGCAGACATTTTTAGGTGTAACATGAGGTCAGTCATTCGTTTACTACTTTTCAGTGTATTGTGTCTTTGTATTGGTCATCGTGTGCCAACAATTTAGGAAATAAAATGGAAAACCGGAACCACCTCTGCCTTCGCAGTTCTGAGATAATTGAACGCACCATAAATCCAGTTTTAGAAAACAAGCACACCATACCAGCTATTGGTTCTTAAGGGCTGGTTATACTCCCCGCAGCAGTGTATCGCAGTGAGCTTGTCGCAGATATTTTTGATTTATGCCCAATATTCAAGCGCGGTCTGCACTATGTTTTTCCATGCCACAACGCAAAAGGCACAATCACGAACTAGCTGTGAGTCTAGATGCGGCCGAGGCGGTGAGAAAGTGGGGGCAAATTGGTGTGATAACGGAGAGGCAGGAGGGTGAAAAAGAGCGGGGATCCAGGTGGAAAAAGAGTCCCAGCGTTCTCGCACACCTCACTTTTCTAGCTGGTCCATTTTCCCCAATGGCGGTCATGCGAACAAAACAAGCCAGTAAGGTACCAAACAGGAAATACCCATAGTGCAGAGCGGATATAGATATGACCGATCGGATGCCTCCTGTGTGCGGCACTGTCTGCGGTCACCTACAATTTGGGAGAGGTGCAGCAGAGTGTCTGCTGAAGGGGCGGGGACGTCTCTGCATTCTCTGCGACACGCACGCAGACAACCTGGTTTCGAAGTATAATTCAGCCTTTAGGAACGTCAGACACAGTGGTACCAAATTCCTGTCCTCTGACTCAGTCTTCTGCATATTTTCAATGGTTTCCCTGCTTTACACACACCATTGAGAGTAGAAATGTAGAAGTTTCGTCAATGGCCGCTGCAGCTTGTCAATCTATGTCTGGGTGTGCATGCTCCTCTTTGCTATGACATAGACATTTAAGAACATTAGGTTACATACAAGCATCATTCAGAAGAGAAGTTTTTTTTTTTTTTTTACCAACCTATGGATGAGCCAAGGATGTTGTTTACATCTGTGTTTTTATCTATGTCTTCTTTATAGCCATTGGCCGGACGTTAATTCCTCGGTACTTCCGGAGTATATTTGAGGGCGGGGCCACAGAGCTCTACTATGTGCTGAAACATCCCAAGGAATCCTTCCACAATAACTTTGTTTCCCTCGACTGTGATCAGTGCACTATGGTCACTCAAAACGGAAAGCCCATGTTCACACAGGTGGGTTGGTGACTTCTGTATCCATCTGTGGAGAGAGATTCTCTCCTTCATGGCCAGCAGGCTGATTTAATTATCTGAACCTAGGTCTGCGTAGAGGGCCGCTTGTACCTGGAGTTCATGTTTGATGACATGATGCGGATAAAAACGTGGCACTTCAGCATCCGACAGCACCGTGAACTCATCCCCCGCAGTATACTGGCCATGCATGTAAGTGAGGTATGTGGAACACGCATGAGACATGTTAAGGGCCTTGTTTAAAGCTATTTTTAATTTCTTTCTAGGCCCAAGACCCACAGATGCTTGACCAGCTTTCCAAAAACATAACAAGATGTGGCCTGTCAAACTCCACCCTCAACTACCTCCGGGTAAGTAGAGCCAACAGGCATCAGGTCTGTGTTGCCATCCTTAAGGTTTAAAATCTCCATCTCACTCTGTGGTTGGTCTTTAATGTTTACTCTTTGTAAATGGGACTTGGTAAAATCGTAATGAGCTCAATGCCCACCAGGACTTAACAAACAAATCCGTACGTCAGCCACATCTGTTTCAAATTTAAAGCATCCAAGCTATCTTTTGAAATATCTGCTACTGAATGACGAACGTAAGAAATCATTATTGATACAGAGCCTCTCAGCAGAAACTTAATGTACCTGTATGTTTCTGAAGTTGTGTGTAATTTGGGTAAATAAAGGCTTCACTGCACATGCAGTATAACTTGACTGCTTTGAGTTTTAGTTCTAATAGATCCATCCAATTCCCTGTTGTTTTCTGCTGTGCATATGTTTCAAACACCTGGTGTCTTGAGCGGCTCAACAGCAGTGAATAAGTCAGGTTATTATGATTACTCCTTTTTATGAAGGTGAACAAAAGTTCAGAATTTCCCACAGTTGGATGACAATTAAGAATATCTTGCGATATACCAATACTGCGGCTTTGAGTGTTGACCGATGTTAGCATGAAGCATGCATAAATTTATTGTGTGGAAAGTTAGAAAAGACTTGATCAAGTAATATTTCTCAGAACTAGTCAACAGGAATGAAATCAGTCGGGCCATATTTTATTAACCCATGGGTTTCATAAAATTGAAACATAAGCCAATAGAGGCTGGGCATTTCTGTCATCTTGATTTTGGCGTCAGAGGTCGAGGTGTACACCTCATGGTTTAACGGTTCAACACAGAGACGACCTGATGCATAATTGTCAGATGCTAATGATGAACTGACAGAAAATTTAAATATATCCAGTTTTTGGACACTTCCTGCTTCTTCATTAACATGTTGTCTGTCTTCTACATGTTTCTCTGAATAAATATCTGAGGAAACATTTAGCCTAGAACCTGAGCCACCTGTGTCTAGTTTAACATTGCCTGTTAATGCCCTGACTTCCTGCTGCTCACTGCCTTACTTCTGCTTTTGTCTTTTTCAAACAAAAATGTGTAGATCATGTCCGCATCTTTAAATCAAACAAATCCTTAATACTACACACTTGGGATTTTTCTCAACTGGTCTACATGTGGTCCTGCTCAGAAATACAGCTTGCGCTGAGGCGGTTTACAGCAGGGATGACATTCAGTTCCTTAAAGTCTGAGGCCATGGTTCTCATTCAGTAACATTAAGCTTGCTCTTTTCATGTCAGACTTGAGTTCCTGCCTCAAGCGGAGGCATTTATTTATCTTGGGGTCCTAACAAACATCGGTGTGGCTACTGCCATAATTCAGATGGGGCGCAGGTCTGCTGCTGTTAAGAGAGCTGAGCCCACAGTTGAGGCACTTCATTAGAGATGGGATAGATTGAGGAGCTCTGTCATGAAAGAGAGGCTGGAGTAGACCTGTTTTTCCTCCACATGGAGAGAAGTCAGCTAAGGTGGCTTAGGCATCTGTTTTGGATCCCTCCCTCTTCAAGCGTCCAGTCACGTCCCAACATGAGGCGGACCAGGGGACAACCCAGGACACCCTGGAAGGTCTATGTCTATCATTTGGCCTGAAATGCCTTGGGGTCTCCCCAGATGAGGTGTCTGAGGAGGAGAGATATACCAATCCTGTTTTTTTTTTTCTTTTTTCGTATCAGTCAAATATAGATTCTACAAGAATTTTCATCATAATGATTTAGGTTTGTAAGGTGATCAGCAACTACCTTTCATTATGTACATCACCAAGGAAATAAAAAAAAATATATATGTTTTTTATTTTATTTCTCGGCATGATCTAATCGAATGCTTGATCAAAAGGGGAAGATTTTATTAATGGATATTTAATAGAGAAAGTTAAATTTATTTCAGCTCTCAGAGTTTAATATTTTGTAGTTTTTATGTAAATGTTGGTCTGTTCAATCAATTTGAAAAGGCCATTTGTTTACAGATTTTGTTGTGACATGATGTGTCTTAGCTGGTGTTAGTTCTGACCCAGTCTTGTCATCACTTGAAATCAATGCCATTATCACCCTGAGATATCTTAGTTGATGATCCTTTTTTTGTTCCCTCCTGCAGCTGTGTGTTATTCTGGAGCCCATGCAGGAGCTAATGTCCAGACACAAGACATACAGTCTCAGCCCCAGAGACTGCCTCAAGACCTGCCTCTTCCAGAAATGGCAGAGGATGGTGGCCCCACCTGGTTAGTTGGCTGGACTGAAAAGTTTCAGAGACGTGTCATAAATTGACAGTTGTGTAACAGGCCATTTTTCTCCTGACTCAACAGCAGAGCCATCGAGACAGCCCCCCAACAAGCGGCGGAAGAGGAAGATGTCTGGCGGCAGCACCATCAGCGGAGGAGGAGGTGCCAACAATAACAACAACAACAAAAAGAAGAGCCCCGGTAGCGGCTTTTCTCTTACAAGCCAAGTACCGGTGAGTGCAATGTTGGCACCTAGTGGCATTCCCTCGGTACTACAGATGCCTAAAAAAAAATTACCTGCAAACTAACTTTGTAGAACTGTGTCAAACTGTGATGAAACTTTAAAACTTGTCATGTTATTTAACCTTAAATGTGACATTAACTGTATATGATATAACTAGAAACATCTATGTAATAAAGAAATAGATAAAAACACAAAAAGGTATAGTGATTTTGAGGGATAAGTAGGCAGGCCTTTAGACCAATTCTTTGTTGAACTTATTTTTGGCTTAAAGGGGGATAGGCATATGCCTATACCTAAAAGACCATGAAGCATTTGATAAAAGGTGTAAGTAATCAAGATAAATGCAGGTCTGGAATTTTCTTCAAGAGGCTGTGAAGTCAGTTACGTATTAATTAATTGGTTTCTGATTGCTGTCCCAGCTAACTTAGCAGATATTGAACCCAGGATTGAGTAAGCCTGGCTGTTAGCCTTCTCTCGATCAGTCAGCTAAACCGAATAAATCACAATGATAACTGACGTGTTACTGCTCTCATGAAACGGTTACGTTTTAATTGGCTATATGCCCAGCTCCAGTACTTTTTGAACTTCAGCCAGCTTCTTGCTTCATGATTTTATTACTGGACAGACTGATTAATACAGGTGTGTCTGGCCATTGTTGTCATGGTTACTGAGAAACAGCTGGATTAATCAGTCTGTCCAGTAATAAAAGACTGGAAACAAAGGAGCAGGAAGTAGTGAAGGTGGGCAGATGGCTCATTTGGCCTGGATATCTGGAAAATCCTCATTTAATCCCTCATCTTGGTTTTTGTAAAATGGGGCCTAGTGCTGGGCATGATGAACAGATATCTGCTGAAAATACCGTAGAACTATCAGAAAGCTGCATAGCAACAGTTAATAAAGTCAATAGAGGCCAAACGTCCTGCAATGCCTCACTGTAAAGTGACAGCTGCGTGTGGTTGAAGACCAACCAATATTAGTTAGGTATGGTATGGCAGTTAAACAAGCACCGGTAGTGGCTTAATTAATTGCTGTAGACCAATCAACAGCAATTAATTAGGTAATCAGTTATTAAAATAACAGTCAACTAGTTTATTAATAGATTATTAGCTAGAGTAGACAGACTTTCAGACATGCCATTTGCTGAAAGAGCAGCCTAAATTATGACTAAAATCCTTTTTAAGGCTCCTCTTTCTAGGCAATTATTAATCAAGGAATCTTAAAAAAACAGAACAATATTGTGACCACAATCTGGTCACACTATGCGAAACAGGAGCCTCTCTACATGCATTGCAGCTAGTATGATGGAAAAACTGTAGCTTGCTGAGTGAGACTCAAGTGGTGTGACCCAGCTTTTTTTTTTCTTTTCTTGGAACCCTGTATTTTGTGATGGGTGTGTATCCTTTTTATACCAGTTATACTACAAACTAGCCTGGTTGTCATTCCGAACTTAGTCCCGCCCACAAGGTTTGAGGTCGGGAAGTTCGCTCTGGCATTGCTCCATAGTAGCGCGAGTATGATCGCCCACCCTCTGGCGATCCAATCAAATTGTCAGGGCAGGCTTTATACGATGATGGACAGATGATCAACAGTAACGTAATCAACCATGTGACCAAAGCGCGCTTGGGTGACAACAACAATGCCTGCCGCCGGAGAGTTGAGGCGAGTAGATTCTGCTATTAGGTCTGTTCTAGAAGATATCGACAGAAAATTAATTTTAAAAGCGGAACAGAGAAACGCGATCAAGGCTCATCTTCTTATTCTAGGCGTGCAACTGCACGCTTTGATTTTTGTTGACAACAACTATGCATCGCTTAACATACGTCACGCACTCCGTTGCTCTTATTGGTTTTAGGTCTATCCAATTGAGTGCAGAGGCATTTTTTTCCTGGTTCGTTCAAAACACGCCCCATAATCACAGCTCTATGGAGCAGTATCAGACTCATATTCTGACTAGAATTGAGTAGGACTACGTCAGGCTAACTACAAACTACTTTCTTTAGGAATTTAAACATCGTATTTCACATAACATGTGTTTTAATGGCTGTGGACAGTAATTACCACCCCTGGTAGATATAAATGTTCTTCAGCCTGGAACTTTTACTGATGGAAATGAGACAGGCAGCTCTCTAATATTTATTTTATATAAGATATAAATCAATGTGAACCGTATCTGTTGAAGAAAAAAAAGTTTCCATTTATATTTCATAAAAAAATGCATGTGAGAAAACAGCTGTTTTAAACAATTAATGGACGGGTCTGTAAAAGCAATGACGGATCAAGTGAACCAGTGAATCATTTCAGTGTAGAGCTTATTAAGAAATGAACTATGTCTGCACAATATTAGGATAATGTTCACAACAGGGATATTGATTTACATTTGTCTGGCAACTCTTTTCCTTTTCTTCACCCCATCGTCACAATTCATCTTCTCTGAGGTCTGAACCTCTCTGGTAAAATCAGTATTTGGATATCAAGGGCCAGGAAAGCCTTTTCAGCTACAGACTTGTATTATTAGAGTGGCCACTGTTGAAGCGTGATCCTTGAAATATGATGGCCTTTTCAAATTGCATCTCTGAGCTGCCCTTTGTGATTGCCACATTGCACCCATTGACGCTGTGGGATCATTCATGGTTTGATTATATGAGCAGCCTTTAGCAAGAATACCATTTATTGATTTATTTTTAACCTTTTTAACTAAAAGTTCCAAACTTTTCCAGACTATAAACCCATGTAGTGTATTAACGTTTATTTCATATTCATACAATTGCATTTAAAGTTTTGATCTGAAATAGTTTCTCCTTTCTAAAACTAAAGCAACACCCTGATATATCGATTGCTGTTATATAATTCTTCAGGCCTCTGAAGAACTTAATGGAGCACCTATTTGCAATATGAATTGCACCACGTTCTGGTGGCATTGCTAAGGAAACTTGCCACTTGTGGGCAAAAGCCTCCAGTTCAATATTTGGTGGCTTGTGTGCTGCAGCATTTTAAAATAAAACTTTTAATCGTTCCAGCCCTATATGAGGCAATGCTCTAGAGCAGGGGTGTCAAACTGGTTCCAGAAAGGGCCGTGTGGCTGCAGGTTTTCTTTCCAACCAAGCAATAGCACAGCAGACTCCAGTCACCTCATCAAGTGAGTCTAGTCTTAACATGATGACTTGATGAGATGAATGGATTCTGGTGTGCTATTGCTTTGTTGGGAAAAAAAAAAAACCTGCAGCCACACGGCCCTTTCTGGAACCGGTTTGACACCCCTGCTCTTGAGCATCACTGAGCCACTACCATGCTTCCCTGCTGGAAGGGTGGTCTTTTTAGCTTATGCTTTACTTTTCTTCATCCAGCTACACCATAAATCTAAAAGTTTTCATTTGAATAATCATTGTAAAGAAAACCGAAAAACTTTCTTTGTGTGGTTGTGAGAAAGTGGAGCTGATATTTATGTGCTTGTTAGTCAATAGTGATAAGAAATTGAGTTTCTCTGGATTTAATATGAGCCTCACTTAGGAGCCTAAACTTCACTGGATGTTGTTGCCATGGAGATTTTCTTCAGCCAGTCAAGAGGAGGTTTTTTTTTCTTTTTCTTACCAATGACCTCATCAGGAATTAGGTGGCACTTGTTTATAGCTGCTTCTTTCTCTGACCTATCTCTGTTGTATTGCAGAGAACATTTAGCTTGCCGGTATTTCTGCATATATTTTTTTATATTTTGTTAGCATGATGCCACAACTGTTCTTACTATTCATTCTGTTGAGGGAGTTTAAGGATTTCGAGATGGTAGTACTCAACAAAAGCAAAAATCCATATTGAGTTTAGATAAAATAGTTTTTAGTTTTTGAATTTAATTATTAAATATATTATTTAATTATATATATTGCATTTTTATTTACTTGTGACTCTGAATTTGCAGTGAGAGATTAATTATTTTAGAGTAAACTGTTCGTGTTGTAATCTTTAATTCTCCAATTTAACATCACATATGTGTGTCATCAAGGATTTTTGACTTAAGCAATTTTTAGGAAAAACTTAAAAAGTTATGAAATAAATGTCCCCTCTAACGAAGTATTGTTGTGATTTGACTGTAGGACGTGATGGTGGTGGGAGAGCCCACCCTGATGGGCGGGGAGTTTGGGGACGAGGATGAGCGTCTGATCACTCGGCTGGAGAACACGCAGTTCGACGCAGCCAACGGCATCGACGACGAGGACAGCTTCAACAACTCTCCAGCGCTGGGCTCCAACTCGCCCTGGAACAACAAGGCCCCCTCCAGCCAGGAGAGCAAGAGTGACAACCCCACCTCGCAGGCATCCCAGTAGAGCCCGGGCCCCTATAACCTCTATACAGACCCCTCTGTCAGCCCCCACCCTACCTCTATAGCCATGACTGCAGCCAAAATTGGGCCATAGTCTGATTTGCAAACCAAACACAGCTGTAGCACTCAGATCCACCCGCAGGTAGCCTGAAGGAGCTCAGTCTGTCCTCTGACTGAGCCAGAGAAATGTTCAGGCACTGTGTCCCAGCACTCTTTCTCTCCTCCTCCAACTTTTACACAAAACGTCCCATCTGCTGTTGCTCATTTTCATTTTTTTGGATGGAGATTGGGTTGACATGACTGAGAAGTAGCAGGAATTTATTCCACACATGAAACTAAGTACACTAATCTATCTGAACCGAGCACTCACGCGGTGGGGTGGACGGGCCGGTGGCAGCGGGGCTTCACTGTGGTGGCGAGTCGCTTAGGGACTACTAGCCCACCCATCATCTAAACACAGCTCTGGATTGTGGTCTGCTCTGCTGATGCACAAGCCACTCTGTTTAACACTGTATGTGTGAGCGAGCGAGCGAGTGTGTGTGTGAGAGAGAAAACCTGAAGTTTGTGGTTTATTTGTGGCTTTGCTGAAGCAGACGGGTCAGAACTGAGCATCAGTTTTTAAAACTAATACACTAGAATGAAGGCTGTTTGGAGGCACTCGGGCAATAAAACATGTATATTCACACCCAATGCATACACACATAATGAAGATGATGATTGAAGGATTTCCAGTGCCCCAGCCACCTCTGATTAGACTACAGTGATTGCAGTCTTTCAAAAGGAAAGCATTTACAACACACACATACAAACAGCTACATCTTTTAAGAGTTTTTATACAGTATATATATTTCCCTAGAATGTTTTTTTTTTTTTTTTGTATTAAACGCCTTCATTTCAATTACTTTTTTATTTTCTACCAATACTGAAAAGCTACAGACCAAGGAGCAACGCAGGACTTTTATCCTCCCTTCCCCCACCCATAAATATATTGGTTTTTTAAAATCTTTTATGTTTATAAAAGAGAAATGATTTAGTGTGGATGTTTTTATTTTCTTTTTTTGGGAATTTTTTGTGTATTTGTGCTTGTATATTTAAGGTAGTAGCAAAGTTCTGTCTGACTGTAATAAAATGTATTCTTACTTAGATTTACCTAAAGCCATCCCGATCTAATGTAAAGAAACAAAAAATAGGAAAAAGGAGAAAAAACACCCATGACCCTGTTCCCTCCCCTCCCCCTCTGCTGTCTTTCCTCCTTCCTCTTTTTTTAAATAAAACTTGTGTAAATTAAATGACAACCCCCTGGGGATACAATGGCACCATGGAAAGATGATTTTAGCTTTTCTATTTATTTTTCAAATTCACACTTGTATTTTGATTTGTCATAGCATCCAGGACAGTTTTCTGTATCTCATCTTGATGTCTAAGTGAATGTGCGCAATTGCTTTTAGTTTCCCTGTTACCTTGTTTCATCACTGGCTAAGACACAATCTTTTTTTTTTTTTTTTTAATTATGAGTTTTATTTTAAAATTCTCTTTATTTGTACAGCCTTGTTTATAACCATCAGTGTCGCTCAGCCTCTTAACAATAAATCCAGTCTGCGTATTTTGGTAGCAGTGCTGAGTCTGTAAAGTCGAATAGAGAACAGCTCTGTTATTGGTTTGTACATTTGTTTTTGTTGGATTTGAATCAAACTGCATAAACTGAGTTTGAATGGTGACTTGTACCTTCTCCAAATCCTGTAGAGAAATCTTGGTTTGATATATATATATTTTTTTTGATTTTGTTAGTTTCTGCCCTTAATAATTAATGTATGGTACCAATAAAAAGATACATTTTCACTTTAAGACGGGTCTGGATGCAAGATTGCTGTAAAGTTAATCTGTAGCCGAGTTCAGAGAAGAATGATAAAGCACCTTCTGCAATTATAAGGACTTTGATTAGAAATGTATGTACTTTTAAAGTATAGTGGAGGATGTCCTTTTTAAAGGTGGATCATCAAAATAAGATGTCTGACATAGTGGAAAAATTGCAAATCTTTTGGAAAGTAAGCTTGTATGAGTGATGCAAACAACTTTTAAACGGTGTGTCCAAGGAGAAATGGGCTCGTGCACGCTCCCGCACACATTTAATAGGCGTTCCGTCTCTGGAGCAGGTACAGGGTTGTGCATTTGCATTTTTGTTTTTTAAGTGGAGAGTCTTTTTAAAAATTCACAAAAGTCCTCCACTATACTTTTAAGATAAAATGTAAAATATTTGTATTTATTGATATTTTAAACAATTGGAAAATAAGATAAAAATATCTTCTAAACGTGGATTAAAATTTATGGAAGTTTGACTCAAATTTGAAATAGATTTTTCACTTACAATATTACTCAACATGTTAAGCGTGTTAATTCACCAGTGCCACAAATTTATTACTCCCTCATTTTTACAATAACATTCTTTTTTTTTTTTTGGTATAAGTTTGTCAGTTGTCTTATTTGAGTAATCTGACTGTTCTGTTGAAGATATGATTTAAAGAGCATCCCACCTCTTTATTGCTGCTCTTAAAAATTTGAAAGAAAAGAATGTGAGATTCAGCTGGCTGTCAGAGTTGTTCCTCCAGACTATATGTTGATTATCTAAAACATCTTGGTTTGACAAAAAGCAAATACTTTTCTTCTACTTTTGCAATGCGGAAAAAATAGAAAAGTTGTTTTATTAACTATATATGTATTAAACATACATGGAAACTGAGAGAAGCACAGTCTATGTGTGCAGGATTATGGGCAATCCACTCCTGTTTATCGTACGATAACAGCACAATCCTTAATTTTTCTTTCTACGTTTTTTTTCAAACTGGTCTTTTGTACCAACCGCCCATCAAACTTGTCACCAGACAATCCTTATGTTATGGCTGAGACACTGGGTACTCTGCTGGCAATATGAATAGTTGCTTTACCTACAAGTGAAGGCTTTATTCTATCCTGCAACCAGCAGATAAAAAAGCAGAGAGTTTATCTTCACTAAGTTTCCTCTTCTTTAGACTACATGTTTTACAAGATTAACTAGACAAAGGACTAGAACTAAACTATGTTCTCATGCTTATAGGAGATGAGATACGAATCATTACCATAGGACCTATGGTAATGATCCGTATCTCATCTCATCTCTTTAACAAACTTAAACTAGTCACTATCCACCTATGGCATAGGTGGATAGTGACTAGTTTAAGTTTGTTAAAATTAAAAAGTGAACCAATCAGAGCAGTTCACAAAGTAGAAAGATAGATCCCCAAACCAGAACTACCAGTTTTTCACAGAAGGAAGAAAACAAACATAAAACATACAAGGTAATCCTATTAATCATCACTAACAAACAGCAGCACTGTTTTAGGCAGCTTTGTTCTCTAAAGAAGCTGAACATACCTCAATAGTTATTCCTTCCTTTATCTTAGTATTTACCCTTCTCCAAGGAAACTGCATAGCCAGATATTGAGAGGATGCAAACAATGTTTGACACAACCGTTATTGATTTCCCTGCAAACAGTGATAAGGTTTCATGGGGAGAGGAGGCCAACTATGTTGCAGAGCGGTTTACAGAGAATAAACCACTGGTCAGCATCAATAAAACTGAGGAGGAGATCATTGATTTTGGAATGATGAGGCACAAAGTGACAAACAGCTCTAATTGAACTGATGAAGAGTAAATGAACATGTTTAGGTTCTGGGAATCATTATCAGAGGGAGAGAGGGTCAGGGTGATTACATCTAAACACTTTGATTAAAAACAGGACAGAAACAGACATGTCAGCTGTACCTTAGAAGGGAAGCCTAAATCAATAATTACTTGACATAAGGTAAAATGGTTACTCAGGACATAAAAGTTCTAGTTAGTGCAAAAGTAGATCAAAATAAAGATGTGTTTTTTTAAAAGGCCAAGATGATGCAAAATTACTGGTTGTAGTATTAGAGAATAGGGAATTTATACTTGTATCAGTTAAAATCTCATGATTACTACCAATATCCTGGAGATAACTGAGCATTTATAACTTCTAACTATTGTCAACCATGCAAACATTTTTTTCAAAGAAAGCAAGAAAAACGTGTTAATTTGCTAATTGTCAAATTAGCTATATGTTTTAGACTGTTGTTTTTGTGAAAGAGCAATCATCAGTATTCAGTTTATAAGTATATTTCACATAATTCCTCTTTGTTTCACACCGAACACTCTGAGATCGGTTATTGCTGGAAAAACCTCAAGCCAAGAGTTTCAAAAGCCTTTTTTCAGTTATTTTTCTTCTTTTAAATTTTATTTATTGAGAATCATTTGGTAAATTCACAACAGTCTTGACCATTATATTACCGTATCATGATCCTCTGTTATCATTTTTTTGCAAACTTAATTCTCTTGCAGTTTACACAGAGTTTGTGATCCTTTAAACTTTAAAGAGAAAAAAGAAAGAAACAAAAAAAGAGAAAAATTGCCAAAGTAGATACAAAACAACTTTGTATAACCTGAATATGTTTGTTTTTTTTCAGAAATGGAAGTACAGACACAAGCTTCTCGCCAATGTATGCCTGCCTAACGACAGGCTGGCAATTAAATTGTTGATGTGAAGACTTAAAGACATCATGATGCCACTCTTTGCTGTTGCTCTCCAAGTGAGTAATTGGGTCTTTATTGGTTTTACCAATCTGCTTGGAAATTGGTCTTTGTGTGATTCACATCCCCCCATAATCAGAAATTATTCAGTTACCAATTACACAAACTCTGCTTAATCTGACATTATGCTACCACTATAGGGGATCACTTTATCTAAGTTTTTCTACTTCTGTTTTTGCAACAGATATTTGACAAACCTTTGGTAAAGTAACATTTGAAATTTTCAAGCCTTCATTTCTATTAATCATTGTCTGCTAACAGTTGATTAAAAAAAAAAACGCATTTATGATTAGAATATTTCATCAGAAAAATTAATTAATTTGACAGACGAGTCTCTGCAGAACGTATTATTCAAACAGATTGAATAATGTACAGGCTGCTCAGTGGAGAAGTTGGTAGCACTGCTGCCTTGCAGCAAGAAGGTTCAATTCCCGGCCCGAGGTCTTTCTGCATGATGTTTGCATGTTCTCCCTGAGCATATGTGGGTTCTCTCCGGGTACTCCGGCTTCCTCACACAGGCCAAAAACATGACTGTTAGGTTAATTGGCTTCTCTAAATTTTCCTTAGGTATGTGCGTGAATGGTTGTTTGCCCTATTTGGCTCTGTGTTGCCCTGCAATGGACTGGCGACTTGTCCATGGTGTACCCCGCCTCTCGCCTGTAGACAGCTGGAGATAGGCACCAGTGACTCCGCATGATACCAAATGGATGGATGAATAATGTACATCATTAGTCTGAGAGTAGAATTAACACTTCAAATTAAACATCTACCCACGCAGTGATCATATGCTTGATATTAAAAAGGGAGTTTGTGAGCTGAGCCCAGGGCTTCATGGGGCCCTTAGCATAATTCCATTTAGGAGTCTCTGTTTCTGAAAACAAAATAGATAGCTGCAGTCCACAGTCAGATCAGATCATTCCTACACCTACTATAAAATCATTGCAGCTATTTCAGTGCTGTGTCCATGTTCCTATATTTTTATTTCATCTAGCATTACAGAAAGTAATACAATAACAATCTGGAATCCAATTTACTGTAATAGTATCATATGGTTGATTATTTTTGGTTACAAAAAATTGTAATGGAAACATGCAAAAACATATTAGTTGTCGTAGGAAAGACAACAAATACAATGGTTTTGATGAATTAAAACAATTGATTTAATTTTACAAAGCCAGAAATAATCAAATATATTAAGATAATAAATATTAAGCACATGCCTATATACAATAATTAAAGACTTAGACTTAGACATTTTTTTAATTGTAATTTTGTGCACACAGTGTATACAAAACAAAATGTCATTTTGTACAGCTTTCAGAACATTTACATTTGTTAAAGTGCAGCAGTGATCAAAAGTTACCCAAAACCAGTTAAAAAATGTTTACTTTTTTTAAGCTTAATTATTGGTTCTTTCAATTACTTAAATATACACTGTTATATATATAAAATCTAAATTTGAAGAATATTAAACTACATTACCCCAACATTTGCCCTTAACCCACTCATAAAACTTACACCTGTGCTTCCTGGCTTTTCTGGCTGCAACATTATTTATAATGTCAAAATAAGAATTTTTCTTTAACTTTATAAATGTTGCCTTAGGATGGCTCTTTTCTGGAAAATGTTGGCTATCTATAGAGGTTTTCATAGTTTGGGAGTTCTGAGAGGTTTCTATCTCTGTAGTAGGTACACCTCCATCACTATCAGATTGTTGTCCAAAGTTTATTTTTGAGAAGTTGACACTTGTCCTTCCTCATCCGTGTTCCATCCTGAACCCCTAGAACCAACAAAAGATAGAACATTTATTTGCACATAAAAGTAACGAGTTCCACACAATAAAACATATATCAAAGTAAAAGCAATGCACAATTTAATCATAAAGTGGTATTTTTGATACTATTATCATATAGAAATCAATATACTTGGCAACTGTTTGTGAATCTTGCCCCAAATGACCGTCTAGTTTGCTTATACCTTGGGCCTGCCCTTCCTGAGCAAAGATCATCTTATAAATATTGAACTCATATGGTTTAACTATTTCACTTAATTTGGTGTGCATGTCTAAACGCTGTCCAAGGGTATAGTCTTCTAAATTTATATAATGTTATTTTATTTCCTTTTTTATATATATAAAAACAAGATGTTACAGAGAATTTTAATCAAAGCATGTTTATTAAACTGTTGGACTTTAAGACCCAGAAGACCAGGAACAGGATGCTAACAGTGCGCTAACAGCTACTGCTACCAAAGGAATTCATGAACTTCATTACCGCAGACATTTAGCTCGCTTGACTGAGGTACGTCTATGTCGTTTGGCAAATATGAACAATAAAACAAAGAGTTTTAAGGAGTTACTAGGGTAATGCTTGCCATTTAGTTCGTAACTCTTAAATCAGTGCTAGCGCTAACATAAATAATAATGGTAGGCATTAGCTAGCTAATGTTAGCTATAGCTGCCAAATAGCTACATAAATACCCAGTTCCTTTTTTTTTGTTTTTTTACAGCGAGCAATTTAAGATGTTTGCTAGATAGGATTTAATGTTTGTTTGCTGCTGGATGAAAGTATTTTGTGTACTGTTGTCGCTTAGATGTACCATTGTTGTAGCAGTGGCTCGCAAGCTAAGGTAGCTAGCAGCCGTTTCCATTTACGACTGATCAGGATTTATTTCATTAATAATGGCCAGGATCAACCGCTACTGGTAACTAACCAGCATCTGTGTCGAAACACTGACTTATCTGTTAACTACAGATCTGCTAATGACTATTGAGAAAAGGCCATTGCGTCTATTAATTATTTAGAGTCTGTGAAATATTAACTTTGTTTGACTCTGAACCTTTGGTTGATGCTGTGATTTACAGCAGCCCAGAGTCAAACACACAAACTAATTATTTGTCATTTTTAGCAGCTGAATGATCCTAGTAACTTAAGAGGGACTGTTGGGATATTGCCTTTTCTTAAAATGTGACTTACCTGTTGCTGAATTAATTATATCAATTTTAGTTGATACTGTGCAGCTCTTATGTTTGAAGTTCAAATTACATTTTGGTCTCAGAAATATTTTGTTCTCGGCTCAGCTTGAGTGTAAATACAGTCATTTTATTTATGTATTTTTTTTGTTTCAGGAGATGTACTTGTGTATTTTAAACTGGAGATGTACCAATCAATTTTTTCCAATCCAATCCAATACTGGTACAGAGACTGAATGCATTGACCGTTACCGATCGGATAATATTGTTGAATAAATTAACCGTACACCTTACCATCTGAGTAAAGGCATCATGCTTGCAATAAATGTTATTTAAAAAAAAAAAAAGGTAACAAATGATCACACATATAAATCAACACAATAGCTGCTCTGCACAATAACATAAAAATCGTTGCAATCATCAAATTATCAAGATTTAAACCAATCGATCACTGTAACTGTATTGCTGTGGAATACAATAGAAACTTTTGCATTGTAATAATTAGACATCATTCATCCAATGTGTGATCCAAACAATGTCCAATTCTAGTATCGCCATTTTGAAAAATGCCACCAATGTAAATATTGTGACCCATGATGATTGTCCCATATTTACCCAATAGATATGCTAGTTCTCCCCTATTAAACTTACTGACTGCAAAAAAAAATAAAAAAATAATAATAATTATAAAGGTTAATATTCACAATGTTTGTATTAATTAGCAAAACAGATCCCAGGCGATGTTTCAGATTACATATGCTGCTGTAAATCTCTGTGGATTTAAAATGAGCCAGAGGAAACTTCTCTAGTTTTTAAGAGGATGGGCATGATACTATGTAGCTTCTGAAATGGGAATTGTTTTTAGGTCTTTGAGTTTGAGAAAATAGTTTCTTGGGGAAATTGTAATGAACATCTAAGGTGTTTTAAATAATTGATGTTGATATCTTGTGTAAAATAGTTTACGGGAGGTCAAGGTTCTCTGTATTTAGAGGATTATTTCACTAAGTAGACTTGGTGGCTATTAAAATTTGTCACTTGGAGCTTTGCAGAAATCTAGAACCGGCTCAAAGAATGGAAAAAATGGTTCTAAGGAGCCCAGAATACTTGTTACACAGGGACTACAGACGGGAGATAGGTCTGCCTTGATTTCCGTAAAAGAACTACAGTGAACATGAGCATCATCTGTATGCTTTTTGGAGTTTTGCAATTATTGGGCTGGGCAATTGACCCCCATGTAAGATTATGGTGTGTCAGGACTTCTCTTAGGACTACTACATTTTGATAAATACTTTTATGTTCAATTCAGTTTATGCATATAGTGCCAATTCACAACACTTTCATCTCAAGGCACTACTGAGCTGATACAGTCGGACTGGTCAAAAGTTTCTGTCAAGGAAAACCAGTTGATTGCATCAAGTCATTGATTTGCAACACATGCTCCTCCTGGATGAGCTTGGAATGATTTCCACTTGCAATTTGTCATTCAGCAATCCATCACACTGAGCATGCATGTAGCAGCAGAGGAGAGAAAATCCCCCTTTTAAGAGGAAGAAACCTCCAGCAGAACCAGGCTCAGTGTGAGCGGCCTTCTGCAGAGGCTGACTGGGGTTAAAGCTAATAGAAGCACATGTACAAAAGGTAACTGTTAATTTGTGATGTTAGCTCATCAGTTGGCCCTGTCCTGGAAAGACGGCCAGGCAGACAAGCTCCAAGCCAATTCTCTTGTCAGAGGATTCAAGAGAGCACATACTTTTAGTCTCACTAAAAGAAACAGGACTACACTGAAAAACAGGCAAAACTGCAACATTAGTAATCAAAGGTGTTGATGGCAGCAGCAGTTCCACAACAGGAACAAACCATCTTTTGCCAAGATTAAAGCTGCAAGTCGATTGGGGGTATGTCTATCTGCTTTGCACACTTAGAGACTGACATTTTTGCCCATTCTTTCTTGCAAAACCGCTTAAGCTCAGTGAAGTTGTTTGAAGAGTGTTTGTCAGCAGCAGTTTTCAGTTCTTCCCACAGATTCTCGATTGGATTAAAGTATAGACTTTGACTTGGCAATTCTAACACCTGGATGTGTTTATTTGTGAACCATTCCATTGTAGATTTTTCTTTACCATAAAGGTCAGATTTGGGCAGTGCACAACTGATTGTTGTCCTATGGACAGAGTCATCCGCCTCAGCTGTAGATCTCTGCAGTTCATCTTGAGTGATCATGGACCTCTTTGCTGCATCTCTGATTAGTCTCCTCCTTGTTTGAGCCTAAAATGTAGAGGATTTCCGTAGTTTTTGCAGTGGTCTGTAGTGATGGTACAGATAAAGCCAGACTTTGAGGTATGTACCAAGAAAAAAGGGACGTGTCTAATAAAGCCCAACTCCGATGCATTGCCTGACATTCCTGTAAACACGTCACTGCTTCATTTCGCGTGCCAGATTTTAAAATAAAAGCACAATGAAACATGCTGCCTCGTGGGTTGTTGTAGGTAGTTTGGTCTTGCATCAGCAGAGATAGCATCTGAGAATAGGCCTATCATAACGGAACTATCGTGAGAAGAATGAAGCCTGCAAAAGAAAGGAAGACCTCTCCCATTTGGAAGTACTTTGAAATGACTGCACAAGACACAGTTTAATAAAGTATGTTTGCACATTAACTGATGGCAATTGCATCAGTAGGACTTACTTTGTGTCACTGGACATATAACCTTTGTTTCTCAGGTCCAGTGTTTGTTGTGTCTACAATAATGACACCTAATCAATGCTCTGGCATTACAGAACCATACATAAGAAATCATACACTACAAATAGACACCGCCTGGGTATTACAGTATTTTTTTCCTACATTTATCCGACTATATTTATCTATTTCATTTAAATTGTCTAAATGTATCTATTTAAATGTATTACTTATTGTTTAAACTGTCTAAATTAGCCGATGAAGAAACCTCCTTAAACCAGAATGTGTGAAAAAAAAGTCTTATCCTTTGTCAAAAAACATTTAACACCCAAATACTCATCCACTAGAAATTTGGCATTTTGTTGTTTGAACAGCGATGCCACCGTCTTACACAGAAGAAATAGACTTAATGCTGTTGAAAGAATGAACCTCTGTGAGCAACTAATTATAAAGGATCTCAAGCAGGAGTCCCAGGAAAATAGAATTTAGAATTAAAGTTTTTCATGAAATAAGTCATGAATAGAAAGCAAACAGTCCACCATCTTTGCAAAAATCAGTCTATGAAAAACAAGTGTCACAGACTGTCAACACATTAGAATTATTTTTGGTAGAAATAATAATAATAATAACACAAAAAAAGTAAGGATGGGTGTATAACAAAAACTTTATTCTGACAATATTGCAGACATTGCTGTTTTCTGAGTTTTGAAATACGAGGGCTGCCATAGTGTCTGTGTTGTTCAATAGTGAGCAACAAAATAAGCATTTAGTGAAACATTAGGCAAAGCATTGAGCTGTAAGGCTTAATTGCTTTGTGAAGCTTCATTTGGCCATCACTAGTGGTCTAATACTCCTTCCATTTCAATACTATCACTTGCGCAGTGCTCCTGGGGATGTTTAAAGCTTTTTTTTTTTTTGTATCCAAATCCAGCTTTAAACTTCACAACAGTATCTCCATCCTGCCTGGTGTGTTCCTTGTTTCTCACGATGCTGTCTGTGCTTTAATCGGACTTCTGAGCCTATCACAGAGCAGGTGCATTTATATGGAGACTTGATTACACACAGGTGGATTCTATTTATCATCATCAGTCTTTTAGGTTAACATTGGATTATTCAGAGATCCTCACTGAACTTCTGGAGAGAGTTTGATGCACTAAAATTTAAGGGATTTCATTTTACATGCCCCACTCTTCAGTATTTATTTCTAAAGATTAAAATATCACATAATTTTAGTTAAACCTCATTGTCCCGAGTTGTTGATTCAATGTTAGGACAATGTTATATCTTTGTTTGAAGCCTGAAATGTTGCTAAAGGTGAAAAACTTCAAAGGGGCTGAATATTTTCACAAGGCACTGTAGCATGAAGCAGAATGATGAAAAGTGGTCTCTGTCATCCAGCAGCCTAAACATATAGCAGCATAAATATAGGAGCTAGCTCAGATAACTGTCTGTTTTGAATGGGTTGTTAGAAGGGTAGAGTCACAGTAGGGCCAAGGTAAAAGCAAGGGGAAATGTCTTTTTGGACCGAAATTCTCCCCTGCTGGATTGGGCTGTTAACGCTCTACCTCCACCTAGGGCTGGGCGATAAGAAGAAAATCTAATATCGCAATATAGAGTGCATAAAATTGAACTGATACACTCATTCAAACTTTTGGTTTCTTATTGAAAACATTTTATTTTAACCAGCTCAGACCTTTTACAAATTATACTGCCATATTATGTCTTCGGTGTCAGTATTACCCCTTTAACAAGATCCCAAAAACCAAACAGGAAACGCAGCAAAACCATGCAACACTAAATAAAATGCAAAATAAACAAGGGGTCTTTGTGCGTAATAAAAACATACAGAATGAAAAAAGAAATTGAACTCCTATTACAAAAACCAAAGTAGAAATACTCCAAATACTTCAAAAATTAGAACATGATAAGAACATCTCCTAACTATTTGCATTGACCTTTACGTGCTGGCTATTTTAAAGAAGCACAAAAAAGTTGTAAAATTGAGAACATTTATAGAAGGCCTTCAAAATCTCTGAACAAGACCACATTAGATCACAGATATTGGAGCGTCTAAAAACATTTAAATAATGTAATAAGTAGCATCTAATTTCCCTCCAGGTCTTCCTTTTTCTCTCATATAGGATCGCTTTTTCAAATGACGAGTTCAATGTCATCTGCTTTACAGCTGATTTATTTAAGGTTTTAATTCGTGTGCAGATTTTAATTGGTCCACTGACATGCAGAGTTGAATACATTCTTCATTTTGCACTTTTTAGGTGGTGGAATAAATTTGCACTCCTACCCTTTACAGCAACGGTTTTTGGTCTTACAAATTACTGCCTTTTTTTCGACATCCTTGGTGTGAAAAGCAAAAACTACTGCCGTATATTGCTCAGCTGAACGACCTACTGTCGCCATATTTCATTTGCCGGTTGCTTTAGCCACACAGAAATTAATCCTGTTTGGAGGAGGGGTTTATGATGCATTCATAGTGTATGGGGGAAAAATAAAACTCAGTGAAATAGATCCATTAATGTCGTCATGCGAATTTGTACTCGATGGTTGCGATAGTCATTTTTACTATCGTGTGTGGGAAAATTCGAAATACATCAATTATATTCAATATAACGCCAAACCCTACCTCCACCTACCTCTCTACCCACCCATCTACTAAGCAAACATCATTCTGTTTTTAACTTAAAGCTCTATCAAATCAAAGTTTTAAGCCTTGTCAATACACAGCATTTTAATATACTTATTTTTGGGAGAAACAATATTTCAGCTTTTTGTGCTTTTTAGTGTAAACCCCTTTTGTGATACTCTCACTTTGCATTAAGAAATGTTTCTATCCATGCCTTCGGTCAACCGTGTCCCGGATCATATGGGTGTGGCTAATGAAACAATGATTAAACAGGGCTTTGGAATGTAAATAGGGGTTTTGTCCCCCTATTGTTCATATGCCATGACTGGCATTATTGTCACAGTCTCAGTAATCACCAGTCAAACTTGCCTTGTAGTTATTTCTGCACACTTAAAAAACAATTTCGAAATGTGGTTGAGAAATGTGTAAAGGCCCTTCCACGTTTTGGTTTATATGGTTAGGATAAAGAAATGCAAAATAAATGGCCACGTCTACACTTCTGCCTGAATAATTTTATTATATAAAGGATTTTTCAAGCACATTTTGATAATTTGCAGCTGAATTCTATTTGAAGCATCTGTTAATGATAATTCAAGGTAACCTTTTGACTTGTCGGTGTATGCTTCCTAAATTGGCTCATCGTTTCATTTCCATTTTCGCTCTGTTTGCAGACTTAGTCATGTCTCAAGTAGAGAAGAAAGCAGGGCTGCTGCGGCGGACGTCATCCTCCAAAAAACCTTTGAAAGAGAAGGTGGTTCTGATGTATGATGAGATCTTTGCTGTGAGTACAAAAGCTGACGAATAGTAGTTTTTTTTTGGGAAATTAGTAAATATTCAAGTGTTGGATGATGGTGTCATTTTTTTTAATGCATATTTAGAAAGAAGACCCAGCCAAAAATAACCCTCGCTTCTGGGATGAGCTGTTTCTCATGAAGGTAAAGATAATAAACCCCACCAGAAAGGTGTTCAGGGATGTTTCTAAAGCTGTCTTTTGGTCTGGTAAGCATTGGTATCGGTAGGATGTTTTCAGAGAAAACTTCTGTTAAGGCTATTTGCAATGAATAATAGTAGTATGCAATGTTTGCAATACTTCATTGGAGTTAAAAGAGGGAGAGGGCTTATTCGGTTATGTCAGCCACAGTTCAACCAGAGGCTGAATGGATTGGGCTGCAGTAGGACTATTAATATTCCAGGTAGAAAGATTTTTAATATATGGCACTGTTGTTCTTCTCTGTATTTGTAAAACTTATGGTAGCTTATTTTTAAATGCACCACATTAGACCTTAAGAGCTTTTGTAAATAATTTTTTCCTTCGTTTCCTGAATTCATTTGTTCTAGGTTAACTTGGAGTACCTGGAGTCCAAATTGGAGAGCGTAAATGGCGAGGAAGTGCAACGTATTCAAGACAACATCAACTCTCTGTTTCACCACTGCGTCCAGGCTCTGGGAGAGGAGCATCAGATCAAAGTGGTCAATGCCCTGCAGGTAACTGAAGCCTTCTGATACTGATGATCACTTCAGATTCGTTTCTTTTAAGTTTCTAAATTAAGTCTTTTTTTCTCTATATAATAAAACTTGATTTATGACCGCAAAATGTAAACACAAAAAAAGATCTAAAAAGGGTTATATGCAAATTCAAAGGAAAATATCAGACACTTATTTCCAGAAAACTGGAATGTTCAAACCCAGCTACAATAACTTGTAGAAAAATTGTATATATACAGTAGGAAGGATTTGACATTGTTCAGCATCATCATATCTCTCTGCCTGTCTCGCCAGACACTCTGCGCACTTTTTCGAGGGGTTCATCAGAAGAATAAGTCTGCATCCGGCTTCGACATTATTAACATGCTCATGGGCTTCGACAAAGCTGAGCAGAGAATGAAGGTGTGTAAAAGGAACCATTAAAAGACGAAAAGCTCTGTGCAATTAATATGAGAAATGAGTATAAAATACTAAGACTTTCTGGAGCTTTATTGTTTGAGTTTGATATATTTTTTGTCTCCTTCAGGATCTGATGGAGAGGTTAGACAGTCTTCTTTGTGGAGACAGCTCAGAGAGCCTGAAAAGCCTTTGCCTAAAGTTGTTACTTTGTTTGGTCACGGTAGGAAAATTTATAGAATAAAAAAAAAAAAACGCACAAATTCTCTTGTGTTGATTACATACATGCTTCTTTGATTGTTGAAACATTTCGCTTAAATGTGGAAAAATCCAATTACCAGGTGACAGATAATATCAGCCAGAACACAATACTGGAATACGTGATGATCAACAGCATTTTCGAAGCTATTCTACAAGTAAGGGATTTTTAATTATTTAAAAAGTGTTTTTGATTTTGATATATTTTTTTTCATTCTTATAACAGACAAGCCCTTGGTTTAATGAACTTGTTTTCACCCCCCCACAGATTCTCTCAGATCCGTCCAGTAGAGGGCAGCATGGTTATGATTCTGTGGTACTTCTGGCACTTCTAGTTAACTACAGAAAATATGAGGTGTGTATTAGCTTGTGCTGTATTGTTTTTTTTTTTTTTTTGTTTGTTTGTTTTGAATTTTATTATAACCCTTGTATTTCTTTATTACTATTTTTATTAGTTTTAAGCCAGACATTATAAAATCTAAGTTCATATTTTCTATTTTGTTCTTCATTTTTTCTCTCTTCTTTAGTCTGTGAATCCATACATTGTGAAACTTTCCATTGTGGATGATGAGCCAACTCTGGATGTAAGTATGTTATAGCTTGTTGCAGCAGGTGAGCTTTTCATTCAAATTGATTGTGTAATTCCCTTACGGTTTGTTTATTTTTATTCACAGGGAATGGGTGTAGTCCTTCACCAGGCTCTGACAGAATATAACAGGTGACATCTTTACATTTCCATTTGTCAGAGCTGGCCTTTCATAATGATGTGTGTGTTTGTGTCTGTGCTAAGGCTGCTAGCATCATTATGGTTTCTATTTCTGTTCCGCTGAAAGAAGAAAAGAATAAAGTCTTTTGATATTTATTTCTTACTGTTTGCTTTGGTAGTCTGAAATGGCTCTTTCTTCCAGCTCAGATAGTGTGTGGATGTTAAAGTGCTGTTTATGAAGAAAGTTTGCATGTAGAGGCGGACATATCAGGGCGATGGCTCCATTAAACCTGTTTTAGTGTGTTTAAATTGAACTGCTCGAAGATCATATATTAGAAGCCATGGAGTGTTTTTTTGTAAATTTGTGCTTAATTGTATACAATGATCACCGATTCTCTCATGGTGTTGTTCACCTTTGGTTTATACCTTCATAATGTCCTTTTTTCCATTGTTTCTTTTTTACATTTTAGACAGTACAAAGATAAAGAGGAGGAAAACCAGGGTGGCTTCTTCTCCACCCTCACTAGCATGGTAGGGTTCCACTTCCGCCTCATAGCTTAAGAGTAGTAATCTTAGTTTATTACTCATGCTGTTGTCCTTTTCTCCACAGGTGGGCAGCATGTTTATAGCAGATGTTGATGAGAAACTCTCTGTACAGTAAGTTCAATGTTTATAGACATTATTAGGCCTCATGTTTTCGTATGCTATCGTTGTGAATCTTATTGCTGCTGCTGTGCTTTTGTCCTTTATTTAAATAGCTCCAAAATAAAATAAATTTTCTTGTTTAAAAAAAATTGTCTGTGATTTTTAAGAAAAACAGAATTGTTTTAGTTGACTATTTAAGGAACAATGAACAGCAATATTTCATAAGGCTTTATTCTTTTAAGTTTACAATTTTTGTACTAGACCACCTACCAATTTGTCTAAGTTAAAGCCATTTTTTTATCTACTTATAGTCTGCTGTAGGGAGATGTGGTAATGTGAATTCAATGGCTATGTACCAACAATAGCTTGCAGAGATGTATTGCTGTCTTTTTTTTTTTTCTGGGAAATGCCCACTGGCTTAGACAAAATCAATATGTGAAAATAAGGTTGAATATAAATACGTTAGAAAGTAGCATAGTATTTAATCCTAACTACACGTGAGATTTAAAACCTTCTAGCATAATTAATCTCCATAATAACTTAAAAATACCCATAGAAATGAACTGACAGTAGTGGTTATGTACATATACACACAGATGTTTTCTTGTGAATATAAGATAAAATTTGGGGTTTTAATTTAGCCAAGAGGCAAACTAACCCAGAGTCTTCAGATTCAGCTTCTGGACCTGTTATCTTCCATGTGGAAATTGATTTGGCTGCTTAATATTTTTTACTTCCTTGTTCTGCCTTGGTTGCATCCTTGGGATAATGTAATTAAAGATGAAGGCAGTTGTAACTGCATGAGCTCTAATAGTTGTTTTATTCAATGCTGCCAGAAAAAAAATCTTTTTTATTATTCTATGTGCTCAGCTTGAATCATTTCTCTCCATATTTAAGGACAAATGAGGCAATTCTGCTGGCACTTTATGAGGCAGTCCACCTTAACAGAAATTTCATCACAGTGTTGGCTCAGGTAAGATGATAATTTTTTTTTTCTTTAGACGGATGCTTGATTTGGGCATTTTTAAACAGGACTAGATAAGAATTTAATATTGATCTTAGATTTTTCACCCGCTCTGTTGCTTAAAGAAGAGACTTAAGAGGTGACTTGGGGATTATTTAGATTTTTATTTTGCCCTTTTATTTAGAAGGGCAAAATAAAGCCACACCACAGAGGTGTAGAGCAGAGCTCCCCAAACTCCTCTGCTTATGACCAACAGAGAACCAGAATGGAATCATTACCATAAGTATATGGAATGTAAATATAAAAAAATGAATAAAAGCATGTATAATAGTCATAAAAAATGTTAACAACCAATGTATTCCTTAGTAATGTATCCTGATTAATTAGGAAACCGTGGTGAGTCCTGAAAAAGGGAGAAGCTGAAGGCATTCATAATTTTTTTGTTTTTCATAAAAACTCCCACAATCCTTTTTTTTTAAAAACATTTTTTAACTTTAGTCTCCCTAAATGAAAACTGAAGGACATTTGTTCATTTCTTTCCAAGGAATGATTTCCTTTTTAGCGTTTTTAATCCCATTGATCTCATTGATTGCCTGTCTTTGCAATATACCAGGCCAGGGCTCGATGTTAACCATTGCCCGATCACCCGGGGCAAGTAGTTTTTATTGTCGGGAGAGTACAAATTTCATTGCATTTGCCCGATCAAAAAAAATATTATTTATCACTCAAAATTACTTGTGAATCACTGACATTCGCTTAAAAAAGGACCAACATGCGTTGCTGGCGCCATTTTTGTTGTTTTGTACACATTCTCGCGTGATTTGAAAAAGCCGTGAGATTTTCCGCCAGATGGCGTGATTTTTGTCCGGGAATTGGCGCCCATAAAGACACACCCAGCACCCAGATAACCCTAGATTAAAAATTATCGGTCAGATATTAAGAAAATTGGCATAATTGTATGCCATGCGCACAGTGTAAATATGGGTATCTTAAAGGAATAGTACACCCAAAACATGATTAGCCTTCATTTTCTACTCACCCCCATGCTGAACAAC